TTAACATTTTGCTGGAATTTGTTTTCATTTTTCCAGTTTCGAATGATTTATCATCTGCAACTCCTTAGTGTTTTGTCTGTCTCATAGTAATGATGTCACCTAACTGACAACCACTGGTTTTTTTTTTTATCTCTATTTCAGTTGGAAATAAATCTTTTCAGGGATTAATATTTTTCTTGTGGATTCTGTGTGAGTTTGAATTGGCCTTTGGAATGTGCAGAAAATGAACCTTACTGCAACTAAAGAAGCTGAACAAGTAATGGAGAGACATATCGAAGATTCTCTTGCGATATTGCCTATTATAAAGACTTGTTACAACGTCCATTCCAGTGAGTTGTTTGACCACATCAGTTTAATTGATGTTGGAAGTGGTGCAGGCCTTCCTGGGTTGGTTCTAGCCATCGCATGTCCAGGTGCTCTTTAGCTTCAAATATGACTATGTAGTTTTGCTGTATCAGATGCAGCTAGTTATAAAGAAAGCCAATGTTCTTGCTTTCAGATTGGAGAGTTACTCTGCTTGAGTCTATAAATAAGCGTTGTGTTTTCTTGGAGCACGTTGTGAATGTCACCGGCCTTACAAATGTTAAAATCGTAAGGGGCAGAGCAGAGGTACAGTTTTAGCCCTGTTTTATTTTTGGACTGAGTTTGAGCAATAAGTATTACTAAAGTCACTCGTTTTGCTGGCTTCTCTTGGTTTCTCTAGTATCTATGGTAACAATTTAGATGCAGTGTCTGACATTCTGAAATAACTCGTGTTTTTCTCTTCGTTTCAAAGCTGAGAGACTCTCTGGAGAGATATTCTGTTAATTGTTTCCATTGAATATGCAGATTAGAACTGTAAGAAATTAGAGTGTTTTAGATGTTGGTGTGTTAATGAATGTTATCTTTTTTAGCTACTCTTTGTCTAAAGCTTCTATTCGAAACTATGGTTCATGATTAAGAAAAGTACTTATCCTAATTCTGTACTCTGTTATATCAATCTCGCCCCATAGCGGTACTCCATTATGTATCACTCTTTTGTGACATAATTGCCAGTAAGGGTGGATTCTAAATTATATTGTCCTACTTTTGCTATAGAACAGAGTTGTGGGCATGATGTTATGTACAGAGAGAAGTTTGATGTGGCTATTGCAAGAGCTGTTGCGGAGATGAGAGTCTTAGGTATTTTGTTCAAGTTTCAAGTATGGTAGTGCTAGAAACATAGTTGCTTATTGGTGGTCAAGTTGATCTGAGCTGTTTCTTATGAACTTTCAGCTGAATATTGTCTTCCTCTAGTCCGGATTGGTGGATTGTTTGTAGCTGCCAAGGGCCATGACCCTAAGGTAAGAGATATCATTTGTGGCATTTTGTTTTTGATTTTTGTTATTGTGTAGTGAGAACTAATTTTATGATGTTATTGTGTAGTGAAAGCCAAGTTTTTTTTTCTCTCTTATGTCAACTGAAAACTAAGTTTTCCTTTGGGAAATTTATTTCTTGCTCTCATCATGCTGCTTCATGTAATGTACGTATACAAAGTTCTGGGTTCTGGCATCTGTTTTTTGTAACTTAAATGTTTCATGAATTTGTCGAAAACAGGAGGAGGTTCGAAATGCAGAGAATGCAGTTCGCATGTTGGGTGGTTCCGTATTGCAAATTAGTCCAGGTGTGTTTTATTTTAGGCCTATTACATTCGCAAGTTTTATCCAAGGACACTTAAACATCACTCATTGAAACATATCAGTGACCTAATATATTTGAACTTTATTGAAAGTGAACGTAATAACAATGGTACAAAAGAGTATATTTGTACAAGGAGAAAGCCTTGTTACCTTGGTTACGTAGAGACATCTCCTGCTAAGGTGGGAAAAGTTTGGTTTCATATTGCCGAAAAGTCTGAAACTTTTACTCATAAATGTTAGGGGGTAAATAGAAAGATGTGGGGATGATATGATTCGAGCTGAATTAGTAGAAACAAGGTAGAGAAATATGCTATGATTTTGGTACCACCATAAAACCTGCAACACAACTATGGATAAATGGATTATGGATTTTCGATAATCAAACTATGAATGAGATGTTTTTTTTGTTTTGGTGTCAAAATATAATGCAGTGGATTCACATAGCCCATATGGACAACGAACAACGGTTGTTTGTCGTAAAGATCATTCCACACCACAAAAATACCCACGTGAAGCAGGTACTCCTTCTAAATTACCATTGTAAATTATGTCAAATGACTCAAATCACTTTGTAAACATTTAAAGCAATAGTTGGCACACTTCTCTCGGAGCTCATTTTTATTCGCGTTTCTAACAAATATATTCGTTTGTCACGAGTCCATGACCTATGTAACATAACTAACCATAAAGCTCAAACTTGTGCACTTTATAAAGCTACTAATTTGGATTTATTTCGTAGCCAATAGGTAAAGCTTGGTTTCATTCTTTGGTCAGTCTATGGAGTTGTAGATGGCATGTTAGTGCTGGGTCCAACTTCAAGACCAGCAAATTAATCACGTCTCTAATCTCTTTAAGACTGCTCTGCTTGTTAAAGAAAAAGGCTTTGTTTCATATTCATGTAGGTGTCAAATCACCTATGATAATAAGGAAAATGATAATGTTGAAAATGACTTGGAGACCTAACTTATCCTCGAATTTTTTAATTAGGTCAGAATTGGAAGAATATTAAAAGAAAAAACAGAATAGGATACACATTGTATGACATCATTTGCCCACGATGTAGACATGTGCTTTTTTTTGCTTCATTTTATTCGTTTCTTGCTCTTATTGTGTCCTCCAATATGAGTAAACTCCGTTGGTCAATCGTGTGTTTGTGTCTTTGAGTGGATAAGCTCGTGTATTAACAATTTCGGTATCCGATACAAATTCCAATCTGATTTTAGAGATCACCTACATTTGGGTCGTATTCTGGTGTAATACTCTTACGAGCATGGATATATTAACATCTATCACCATTTACCAACTATTTAGTCTGATATAGGGGATACATAATTAAGGAACGAATAAGAAATTTTTATATGAAAACCCTTCTGTTTTCCCATAAAGAGATGCCTTTTTCACTTGATTATTATTATTGTTAAAGATAGATTCGGTAGACATAATACAAAATATAGACAAATTGCTTGTACCACTATTTCTCTCCAAACATATTATTCTTTTGACATAGATTCTGTCAGAGACCGAATTGTTAGGAATTGGATTGTCAAAACGATGTACGTAAAAAAAAACAGAGGACCCTTTCATTAATCATTCCACACTCATTCACCTATTATCTCAAAAGATAAAATTTCTCATACAAAAAAAATTAATCAACATATATCAACAATGGATACAACTTACTAACGGAAGAGTAAACAAGCTTCAGATTTTGTATCTCAACCAAATTAAATGATTAAGAAGTCTTTTTATGAGGTTGGTACCCAAATCTGCCAAACTTTAACTTGAGAGTCAAGTGCTCCACTGTAAATGTGATAAGAAGCCTCAGATTCTGTACCGGATTCACGAATTGTTCCGGTTAAACACTTAACGGGTCCTCTATGCCCCTCCAACAGAGCCAAGCATGAAAAATCTGTTGCCGAACATTTCCACAGCCTCACCGTCTTATCTGCAGAGCCACTACAAAGTATATCCGAAACAACCGTGAGGCAAAGAACAGACTCTGCGTGACCTCTTAGCTCTCCAACAACAGCAGTGTCTCCAACTTCGTTATCTCTTTCCCACACCAATATCGATCCATCCGATCCACCTGAATACAGAAGATACATGTTATAACTGCTCAATGCCAATGCGTTAATACCTGAATGATGCCCTGACAATGTTGCAACCAAAGAATGT